CTCCCGTTCTCTTGCTCTCTCGCGCGCGTAGAAAAGCCACGGCCCCGAAAACGCGGCGCGCGCTGCGCTGCCCCGACCTCGCGGCCGCGGCCGCGCTGCATTCATTCCCGCGCGCGCCTAGAAACGCAGTTTTTTTTCCCCCGTTTCTCCTCTCCCGTCCTGGATTGATATCAGCTGGTTTTTTTTCCTCTCTGCGCGTGTGTCCTCTCCTTTCGCCGTTTCGCTGCTTCGTTTGTATCCTCGTTACTTACATGTATACGGCCGGGACCCGTTAATCGTCTCGTATTTTCCATTAAAATTCTCCCTCGATGTCGCGCCGGATTAAAAGTTTCCTCTCTCTCTTTCTCTCTCCTCCCCACGCAGCCCGCCTACAGAGATTGAGTAAACTCCATTATCTTTTATTGCGATCTCAAGTTTTGTATAACGTAACTTTTTAGATCGCCCATTGGACACACTTGTCCTTTTAACCTTTCTCAATTACCGCACTGAGGTCACGTTTGACGTCAGTGACTGGACGATATATATATATTCGCACTTTGGGGGAGACACGATCTATCCGAAACGCGATGTTCCCCCGCATGTCGATCACCAGCCCCTTTCTGAGTTTATATTTACGAGAGAGAGCCCCGTAATTGGGGATGCAGTGGAAGGCGAAATCGCGTCTCGCCCGCCGAGAAACAGAGAGAGAGAGAGAGAGAGATCCGTCTCGTGTCTTTTTTTTTCCTCTCCTTTTTTTTCCTCTTTCCTTTTCGAGAACGGCAGGGTCGCGCGATTGCATATCGCGGGCGTGTTGGCTGCGTGACGTAACACAACACATTACCCGGCGCGCTCGCTCGCGCAGCCTCGGCCGCGCCGCGCGCTCGTTTGCTCGGGCGTAGATATAGAGAGGAAAGCAGGCAAGCGGGACGCGAGAATGCACCTGGCCGGCGTGTCCCGGCCCGGTACACAAGAGAGTGACCTGCCAACCTGCGCGCGCGCGCGCACGCTCTCTCTCTGTTTCTCTCTCGCTCGCTCGCTCTCTCGCCGTCCGACCGCTCGGCCGACCGACGGAGCGGCCGGCTTGCGTTCACCTGCGCGCAAGGTTGCTGCGGGAGAAGCACAGCGGCGGCGGCGGCGCGCGGTTCTTGGCGTGAACCGCGGACGGACGACGACGAGCGAGAACGCGACGACGCTCCGGCGTGGACGCGTCGCGATCGGCGCGCGTTGCGACGAGCTGAGCGAGTGAGTGCGTGCGTGCGTGCGTGCGTGCGTGTGTGCGTCCGTCGTCCGTCCGGTCAACACTGCGTTATATTCTCCACCACGTATAGCTTCGCATTCAGCGCGTTTCGCCGATACACGCAGCCATCAGCGAGGACGGGCCGAGGAAGCTAACCGATCGAGCGAGCGAGCGAGCGAGCAAGCAAGGCGGGCGGGCGAGCGACCTGACACACAACAGGTAGCGTACCGTGCATTCCGTCCTCGAACTTTTGCGCGCAAGCGCGCGCGCGCTCTCGGAGTTCGGCCCGCTCTCGGACTCTCCTCCGCGGCGGAATCGAAAGTGACTCTCGACGCGTGCGGTCGCCTGCGCCGAGAGGAAGGCTTTTTTTTTTTGACTTCTCGAAGCGGAAGCGGGAGAGCCGAGAGCGTTACCGGTTTGACCTCGTATATCGTGCCGTGCCGCGCCGCGCACCGTCTCGCCGTCGGACGTGCGTCTGCATGGAGTGTCGATCTATCTGTCGAATGGATGACGTCCGTCAGCGTGCAGCAGGTTGTTGTGTGAGCGAGCGATATTTCAAAGCGGATCGCTCGCGCTCGCGCGCGTCCGTCGGGGTAACGTTCTTCAATTCCCATGACGTCCGCGCGGACGGCAAAGCACCGCGCGCGGGCATCTTGCCGCGGCGTGAACTCTCCGGATTCCGCGGGTTTCGCGAGGCGTCGCGGTCCACGAGGCGTGAATCCAGCAGCGGCCGGGAGGAGGGGGGGGGAAGTGGCGTGGAAAGGGGGTTTAAAGCGCGGACCGATTACGCGCTTCTCTCTCTCTCTCTCTCTCTCTCTTGAGGGGGGGGGGGGACAGTCGCGGCACGGTACACTTTCGACTTGCACGCTGACCTTTCGATCGGGCACGGCCGCCGCGGCTGCCCGCATTCTTATACGTGACAGCCGTCGCACAGTCTCCTCCCAGTCATCATCTTCGGGTTTTCCGCATCTACTTATATATATATAGTCCGCGCGATTGTAAAAATCGGCCGCGGCGATTATCAGCATTCGCGATGACGTGCTGTCGACCTTATCGCGCGTCGCGCGACCGATCAGTCGCGATGTCCCGATTCGAGGCGCGAGGAGCGATCGTCGTGGGATATCTTCACGGCCGACGGACGAATATCGCGACGTTCGTGTACGAGAATACAATCATCCGTCAATGTCCCGATAACGTGCTGTGGTGCAGTTTTTTTTTCTTTCTTTCGAGACGGAGCGAGTTCTCCTCAGAGCCGTTAAGAATCGCGGATATCCCGCGCGCTTTTGAGAAAAGTCCGGAGATTATAGATATAAGCGCGAGCGACGACCAGATGGCCCGAGAATACCCGAGTATTTTGGAATTGGCGTGAAACGCAAATAAACGGAAATGTGTATCGGAGACACTTCGATCCCACTAAATAGCGATATCGCTGATAGCGCTAGATAAATATTGACATTTTATATACGGGGAGATCGTACGACGTTTTATCTTTCGATTACGAATTTATTTACAATTGTAAATCCACGATGACACACATATCGTAAAAGTATTCAAAATTACTTGCATAATTATCGACTATATTGATTTATTTGCGACAAGTTCATAATGTGCGTAACATGTGGATGCACAAGAGATTAAGCTCACATGGAAGAACGGTTTTACTGAAATACGTCAGCTTAAAAATTTAACTAGATAGAGAGAATTATTATTATTGAACGATGCATGATAATACACTGTTAAATTTATTATTAATATTTTAAGTTGCCACTGCTTCTACTTAAAATAAATAGTTATTTTTAACTAAAACGTTGGAATTAAGTAATTCCAAAAACAGTTCAAATTTAATCCAAATTTGGGTTAAATTCCGTCGTTTTATTTAAAAATAACTATATATTAAGCAGGAGCAGTGGCGACTTGAATAGGGTTAAATTTGACACTATAGATTTAACAGTGTAATGCTGCGAAAAGTTGCGATATTCCTGTAATCAGCTTGAACATTAATTAGATTCAGCTTCAATATTAATTATTGGAGTTAAATAATTCAAAACAGTTTAAATATTAAAATAACTCAAATTTGGGTTAAATTCCATCGTTTTATATTAAAAATAACTATATATTAAGTAAGAGCAGTGGGCGATTTAAATATATAGGGTTAAATTTGACGCTCTAGATTAACAGTGTAATGCTGCGAAAAGTGATATTCCATGTAGTAATCTGCAGCTTGAATCAGCACGTTCAATATAATTTTATTTCGATGGTCCAACTATAATTATTTTCAGAGATCTCTCTGTATGTGTAACTGTACATTTCGAGTTACTTGATCGAAATCTTTCCGCGTATGCAGAGTCACGCGAATCGAAGATCATATTGAATGGTATTTAAGAGAGGCAATTCTCTCTCGCGCGGCGTAAGGAAGAAAAGCGCGTGCGTGCGTGCGTGTATGTGCGGTGTCGCGAGATCTCCGATTGCAGCGTCCGAAGTAAAATCGCGTGCAAATCGCATATAGAAATCGGAGCGGCGGTGGATCGCGCGCGGACGTGTGAAAATGGACCACTCGCTTCTATATGACAGCGGCGGTCCGCGGCGCGGCGCGGCGCGACGGCGGTGCAGCGTAGCGCGACGCTAGCCGGGCATCGGCATGCCTTTTCTATACCTACCTAACCGCGTAGCAACCTCTACGAACCGAGGAACACTCGGAGGACCATCTCTTTCACCTCTCAAAACGGCGCCGCAAGGGGAGACGGGAGAGGAGGGGGGGGGTCCGCGGGGGTAGAGCGCGGGCGGGCGACGGGGCCGGGGGCGAGGAGTAGTTTCTCCCTGGCTGCATGCTGCAGGTGGGGGACGGGCCGGTGGCAAATGCTCCAGTTTACATTTTTATCCCGCGCCCCCTTGCTGCGCTTGTATATATAGTTCTTTCGAACACGCTTCGCGGATCGCGCGGCGCAATCGTCTCTCCTCTCTTCGCGCCTCGCGGCGCGGGATGCGACCCGCGCCGCGGGGGAGGGGGGGAGAGCAGCGAGGGAAGATCGCGTATCGATTGTCGGAGGACGGTGCACTTTCCCGCGAGCGCGCAACCTGCAGCACGCGCGACGCGCGACATCGCACCGCGTTGTGCTTGGGCGTTTGGTCGCGTGCGTAATATCGCGTGCCAGTATCTCTCTCTCGCGTTTGAAATTCGCGTTTGGAGCTCCAATATGGAGCAAGTTAAATGTCCATTAAAACGGCGTGTTTTTGTAAGAATTTCATATATACTTGGATCTCGCTTGGCTCTCACCGCGTCTCGCGGGCGAAAAACGGTGTTTCGGAATCTGCGGGATTATCTTATTCGTGTCTCGCTCGCGCATCGGATCGCTGACTTCTTTTTTTTTTTTTTTCCTTTCCATCGGCATTGAGTTCTCGATCTTTCGACTCGACGCGGCTGTGCATGTAACGCGCGTTACAGTGTCTGCAGGCCGTGCGCCACCGGCGCGCGCGGCGCGCGTTTTCACGAGCGTGTATTACGAATCGCGGCTCGAACCGGCGCGGCCGCGCGCGGCGGCGCGGCGGACGATTCGAGGATCGCAATATCCGGCTGAAAATCATTAATGCCGGTTTAACACGCATCGCGAAAAGGAGAGAACCCCTCTCGGCGCGGTAATAGCGCTCTCTCGGAACGGTAACGCGCCGCGTATTATTGTGCGATCAGCGCGGAAATTTCTATACTGCGCCTATATACGAGATTATACCTATACACGTTCTCTACGCGCTCGTCTAACGGAGGCGTCGATCCGTTTTTTTTTTACAGAGAGAAATGGACAGGGACCACAGGGAGCAACGCGATCACGATAATTTGAGCGAGAAGGAGCCGGACTGCAAAGTTGGAATGGCTTTCCGCAGTCTCTCCCACCATCATCGCGATCGCACGCCGGATGCCGATGCGGAGGTTCATTGCTTGTCATAAAATTTCTCCTTCAATGATTACTCCTGAGGAAATAATAATCGGCGTTTATATCGACGATATATCGTATAATTGTGAAAATTATAAAATTGTTTTTATCATCGTCACGTATAATTGTCAGTTCCGCGTCGAGAGGCGTTGAGGTATTGCGGTAAATCATTCTGCAAATAATTAAAAAAACGATTATTAATGATCTCCAAATTATTTTTACGACAATCGCCAATTTGTAATAAATCAACCAGACAATTATTATTTCCTTTATTTTTATTATGAAAATTAATGGAAGTAATGACGAGAGACGATTTCTCTATATTTGATATACTCCAGCTTCGAAATTCTGTTCTGTTGCAGAGAGACATGGACATCGATCCGGCTGATCACGCCGAGAATTTACACGACGACAAGTCCGAGAAGTTAGGGAGAAATTTTCATAGTATAGGACATCATCCAGCTATGGTAGATAATATTATATATATATATTAATCTGAGCTTACAACTATATTTGCGTAATATCGATTTATTTAATTAAATATAAAATTTGCCTTCGCAGAGAGATGTAGATAGGGATCAAAATAATCACGTTGACAATGTGCCGTGGCGTCATGATGACAAGATGGACCACAAATTGGGACGAGACTTTCGCAATCCTGCAATGGTCCACTTGCATTCTGGCATGGAGCATTTGTCTAATGTCGACGTTGAGGTAAGTTATTATTGCACATTGCATTGATCTTTCTTATAAAAAAAGTGTTTGTCTTGATTAACTCTAATTATGTTTTGATATTTTTTTTTCACAGGTGAAATTAGCGAGGGACGTTCGCGGCTCGTTAGGATTAGGGCTGTCCTTAGAACTCTGCGTGGTTTGTGGGGATAGAGCTAGTGGTAGGCACTACGGGGCGATCAGCTGCGAGGGCTGCAAGGGATTTTTTAAACGCAGCATCCGCAAGCAGCTGGGCTACCAGTGTAGGGGAAGCAAAAGTTGCGAAGTTACCAAACACCACAGAAATCGTTGTCAGTATTGTAGGCTTCAGAAGTGCTTGGCGATGGGCATGAGAAGCGACTGTAAGTGAAACTGATTAATTTTCGTCTTCTTCCTTAATGGATACCCTTCTCGAATGTGGATATAGTATCATGCTTTTCTAAACTTCCTTTTAGAGGTATGCGAATCAGGCATATTTGCATGGTCGAATCGAATCGAATCGAATTTTTGATAACATGTTCGAAATCGAGTCGAATCGAATCTGAAATTTTCACTTTGAACCGAATCTTTTTAATTTGAATACGAATCGAATCAAATTTTCCCAGATTTACAATTACATGTTAATTACATTAGTGTAAATTTAAACGTAATAATATAAAATTTATGATTTACATTAATTTTACGCAAACTTTAAACAATTTAAACAAACTGAAGATCTGTTTTTGATTTATCATTTTTTTACATCTCACTACGAAGGATGATTTTATGTAACATCTTTGAACTAGAAAATATGTAATTGATGATATGTGTATACACGAATAGTTAGAATGCTTTCGAGCATTTTATTAATCTACATATATGGATACGTTACATACATCAAAAATACTTATTTATTAGATAAGAATAATTAGTCGCGCAGGAGATATGAATGAAGCAAATATAATAAGCGATCGAAGTCGAATCATTGTTGATTCGAAATTTTCGAACTATTTGATTTGTAAGATTCGAAAACAAATTCGAATCGAATCCACTGTGATTCGATTAGATTCGATTTGAATTCGCACACCTCTGCTTCCTTTCAACTCTTTAGCTCTTTAATCAACTTCTCACAAATATACATAAATACGTATATATGTATATGTGTACATATATCTATATTGTGTGAAGATTGGAATAGAAGTTACGAACTATGAATTGATTGCTCCTACGCAAAGCCGCATTTCTATATTCTCATGGCGTTATTAGGCTTGTTTTCTGAAATACATACATAATAGAAGATAGTAAATAACTTATGCGAGTGACGTTACGATGTTGCAGCTGTACAACACGAGAGAAAACCGGTGTTGGGCGAGTCGGCCGCGACAAAAGTCGGCAGCCGTAGCCCCAGGGTGAAACCCGAACCGCAACAGCCCGCACCCGAGGCGCTGCCGACTTGGGAGCAGCCCGAGAGTCCCAGCATGGAAGACCAAAGCAGCGACAGCGACGCTCTCAGCGACGCTTTGACCTTAGCTCGCGAGCGCTTGCTCCTTTCTCACGCGTTAGCGGATAGCATGGCTAAAATCATTGGTGACGTAAGTTGCGCGTGATTGTTAGCTCATTGTTTCATGTCTGTATGTGTGTGTGAGGTGTGTATGTATGTATGTATGTATGTATGGGTAGGTCATTAATGTATGTCGCGATGTTCGCTTGCAGAATGTCAATGGCTCGAGCGAGCCGGAGGAGGAGTGGACCGGCCAATTAATCTCTGAGCGTAATACCCTGTTCGAAGTGAGGGCGCCTAGCCCAGCGCCCGTCTACTTGTCTATTCACTACATATGCGAAAGCGCAGCTAGGTTACTATTTCTGTCCGTGCATTGGGCGCGAGGTATTCCAGCGTTTCAAGCTTTGCCGTAAGTGCGATGTGTTTTTATATAAATACGGGGTTGCCGCAGACTTGGAAAACCGGGAAAAGTCAGGGAAATTTAAACTAGTCAGGGAAAGATATAAAAGAGCTTGGAATTTTGAACTTTACTCCATAAAGAGGATCCACCCCGATTTCTGTAGCTCTCAACGACAGTTCGGTATCGTTACATTTTTTTGTATGTATTGCTTTTTCTGATTTGAAAATTCTTTTCCATAATTAAACAATAGAGGATAACAGAATAAAATGATTTTGTATGAAAATCGAAAAAATTTTTGAAAATTACGATTATGTTTGAGACTTCTCTCTGTTATCGCAATTGAAAATATTCTGAATATTTAGCGGTATTAAAAAGGAAATGTCTACAGGAATCTTTCTGCTTTTACAACTGAGTTTTGTCTGGTCGTCAGAGCAGATGGAAAATTCAGTTATATCAAAAGGAATTTTTTTAATAGTTTAATGCACAACATCAAAGCAACAATGTCAAAGATGTTAATAATTTATTGGCCTAAATTTGCATTTGGGATTATATTATGTTATTGAAGAATATGTATCCTCTAAACATTAAAATTTAGATTTGTATAATTGATACTGATCATGAAAAATTTTCTACTGTCGTCTGGAAATCATGGAAGAATTTCAAAACACTCATTTTCTGTGGCAGCTCTGAAGTAGCACATTTACCTCTTGATCGTAACGTAACGTATCATCTAAGACAAACATTTTACGCTTTCAGATCCGATGTTCAAATTACTTTGGTTCGAAGTTCCTGGGGACAATTGTTTACATTAGGTCTGGCACAGTGTGCGTACACCTTGTCGCTTCCTAGTATTTTGACGTCGATAATCAATCACTTGCAAGCTAGTATCGCACAGGAGAAAGTCACCGCCGGCAAAGTGAAGTGCGTCACCGAGCTTATCTGGCGACTGCAGGACTGCGTGAATTCGCTGCACAAGCTGCAAGTGGACTCCGTCGAGTACGCGTATCTCAAAGCTTTAACGCTCTTCAGCGCCGGTAAGTGGAATGCTAATGGCAAACGGTGAAGTGTTTATCACCAAAGTGAGAGAGAGAGACAGACACATTTGTGTTATCTTTTCCCAGATAATGTCCTAGCGGGCATCTGGCACAAGAAGGTCGAGGTTCTGCAGGAAGCGGCGTGGACGGAGCTGCAGCAACGCGTGGGCTCCGACAGATTGCCTCGTCTCCTGCTGAGGCTGGCGCCCCTCCGCTCGATCAATCCCCGAGTACTCGAGGACCTCTTCTTCTCGGGTCTAATCGGCCGAGTAAACGTGGCTAGCGTCGTGCCTTACATCCTCACCATGAAAGATTACAATCCCGAAACCGAGAGTCACGCGGGGTGACGACGAATATTGTCGGTGCAATATAATTTGTGACCTAAAAAGAGTGATATACGTTACACGTTAAATATTGAATGCCTCTCTCGAAGGTTTTCGCGCAACGAAAACGCTCGTCCGAAACGCGAGCGGTCGAGATAACTTTTATTTTCGTATTCTCTTTTTTCCCCATTTCGCGTATTTCTGCACAAGAGCATAATGAAAGCAATTATGAAACGCGCATAAATTTCAATTACAAGTGTATGTATTACTGTAATGATAATAACTGTACATATATATCTATGTCTAGATATATGTACATATTTTTATGTTTAGATCATAGATATGTATTGTATATCTACAGTGCACAGTATCTGGTTGTTTGTAATATTGATTTTGTGCCCAATAAGTTTTTATTTATTATATAGTAAATGAACATTATGCAAAACTTTCCAAAAACATGGCAGCACTTCGTTGAGTTATATTTTCAAGTAAGAGCTTAAATAACGTTGAAATGAATGATCTGTGAAGTGATAATCAGGAAATATTGATACTACACACACACACACACACACACACACATACACACAAAATTGCATATATTGCATTTTTAGTATTCATGTGACAAAACAAAATATCTAAAAAAAAATATGGGCTTCTGTGATATAGTTTCACAGGAAAGTTTTGTATCGGCACATTACTTACACAGAACGTAGAAAGTAATATGATATATTTATAATGTATTATTATTAACAGTTAAATAGTCTGTAAAAACTATTCTACATGTATACAGACAAGATTTTTATTTTAAAAAAAGCCTCTGAATATATGACGGGAGTTAAAATTAAAGAAAATTTCATTGTTACTTGTTTATAGAGATGTTGATATAAGATTATTCAGATTTCCTATAATGTAAAAAAAAAAAAGAAATTACGACCTTTATTTTTGCTTCCAATATACCGATCAAAGTTTTTGATTGCACAGATTACCTGTCACTTGTTGTTGAGTGGACAATAAAATCATATTTTTTGTAAGAGAAAAGCGTGGATACTTAACATAGCTTAGGCATACATAACGATTGTACATGAGTTACTTAATTGAAAATGTAAATTTCGTATTGTTGATATATTGTAATTATATATTATCGTATTGTAATTACATATAATAAGCGAACTACATATGTGTATATATATATATATATATATATATATATATATATATATATATATATGCAGTACTTCGTACATATTTTATTCTATATTTAAGACATTTAAAAGATATTCTTGTAATACTCTTTAAGAAATTCCTAAGGACGTTACTCCATTAATTTTTTATAATCATCTAAATTTCTTTTTTGTAGAAGCTTATCGAGTTGTAATGATTTTTCAACAGTACAATTAATCGGTTAATGATTCTAAATGTGACATTACGTGCAGTTTGATAAGAATTAGACAATACTTCAGAGATTGAAATCATCCGAACAAGATACTACTTTGCAATATTGACAATAACATATTGTTATTGTGATTAATTAAAAAGCAATGTTTAATAGTCAGATACGATTTAATTTTTTATAATTGTATTTGTTGACGAGGTGATCAATATTTTTATTGAATAACATAGATTCTCCGAAGCTTGATTCGTCGTAGCTTAACAGTTCTTAAACGTGTGTTCGTGGATCATTTTCGGAATTTAAATGCCTTCCGCGTTTCGGCGTTAACACTCACAATGTTAAAATTGCTTATGCGTATTCGAATGTAAGTTACGAAATCGCCGGATCGACAGCATTTAAATTTCGGGATGCCATCCCCAAAAGAGACAATACGTTGAGATGTAATAATATTTCGCGGGTGCATTACAAGGGAAATTTGTATATAACGTGTAAGAATGTGCCTACCTAAGAAAGATATTTATACGGACGTTAAGGATTTTGTAATTATTGTTGTATAAGCGAACGAACGGAAAATGTATAAGTTAAAAGAAACGGAGAGATACCTGAAAACTCGTTGCAACGCAATTTCACCCGCGTTTAGAGAACGATATGTACATATACTCAACAAATATGTATTTAAACGCGCGTCGCGAGATAACATATATTTACGATACGAAATAAACATTGCTAGAGGACAGATATGCTGTATGTGTATAAATGCAAAACGCTATTGCATCTATTCCTCGATCCCAATTTCATTCAAAATTCACTGCGACGTGTTTCGTTTCGCCCGAAAATCGCTATAGTATCATCAGGAGTCAATATAGGTGACAATTAAGTACGGCTCGGCGAAAGGATTATTAAAACTATCTATAGAGAAATATAAATGCAAAACCCATGCATCTATTCCTCGCGATCCCAGTTTGATTCAAAATTCACTGCGACGTGCTTCGTTCCGCTCAAAAGTCGCTACAGTATCATCAAGAGTCAATATCCCGGTGACAATTACGGCTCGGCGAAAGGATTATTAAACTTTCTAGAGAAAGCGCGCTTCCGCGAAACGGCGCTTTTGCGTGACGCCAGCCGATGTTGGATTCGAGCTCGTCGCGGCCTCGAGTCGTAACACGAAATTATACGATTCCCCTTCGAGTAAGGAGCTATCAGATCTAACAAGATAAAATTATATTTAGGACTAGAGGTAGCATCATAAAAGTGATCAAGGAATACATTCTCTCCGTCACAAAAAGAGAGAGTTGTGAAGTTGAAAACAAAATTGATTTCAGCTTGCTCTCAAATAACTTGTCCTTTTTTTCTCTCTCTGAAAGGTCTACGTCGGGTTCATCTAAAGGGTTTTTGACAGATCAATTTTAAGATTGTCTTGCGTATGATTTCGAGAAGCTGTATACGGTTATTTCGTTTGCGTGGAATCTTAACGTTACTAAAAATCTCTCAAACTTAAAATCTTAAGTATAAGATAAACTTATGAATAACATTTGTGGAATATGATTTCGACCAAGCTCTGCTCAACTTGATCGACGACCAATAATAATTCATATCTGCAAAATTAAATCAAAATTTCTAACTGTATAATATTTGTTGTCCCTGATATAATTATTTTTTCTACAGGCTAAACAACAGAAAATCAATGGTTTTATTCACCTTGATTTTTTGTTGTTTAGCCTACATAGAAAAAATAATTATATCAGGGACAACAAATTATTATGTAGTTGAAAATTTTGATTTAATTTTGCAGATTGAATTATTATTGGTCATCGATTAAGTTGAGCAGAGCTTGGTCGAAATTATATTCTAAAAATGGTGTATATTCATAAGTTTATATCTTATTTAAGATTTTAAGTTTGAGAGATTTCTAGTGTACATTCACACATATTTTAAGAAATTTACACTTACACACTCGAAATCATGATAGAGTATAATATCAATCAGTTAATGACTTTAATGAGTTTAAAGTGATATACAATTATATTTGCAGTTGATAAGAATTAGACAATACTTCAGAGATTAAAATTATCCGAACAAGATACTACTCTTCGCAATATTAATAATGACATACATTGTTATTGTGATTTATTAGTGATTGTGATTATCCTAAAAATAGTATTCATGGGCGTCCGCAAGGAGGGGGCAAGAAGGGGCATTATTTACCCCCCCCCCTCTGAAATCAAATTAACGAGTAGGTATAAGAAAATTCAGAATTTGCTCTCTTATTTGTACAAATAATAAATATGTTTGTCAAATGTGAGAGAGCTAAAATACAACACAGGTACACAACGTTTGGACATTTGCTCCTCGCGGTAGTTCGTATTAAAAATTTGGATCATCAAATTTGGCTCTCCTCTAGAAAAAATCCTGCGAACACCCTTGATGGTATTCATAAGTCCATAATACTATTTTATATTTAAGATTTTACGTTTGAGAGATTGATTAAATAACAAAACAGATGTTATTTGATATAGATTTTGTCGGTGAAATTAATCGGAGTTCGGCAATCGCCCTTAGTTCACGACCCTGAGAGGCCGCGGCCCTGCGCGGCGAATGAGTCACGGCGCAAGACCGCCACGAGAGGCGCCGCCGCCCGCCGACCCGCTGTCAGCGGTCAGCCGTGAGCCGTCAGTGTATCGCTGGTTGGCGGTGTGCGTGTATCGCTGTACGCTGACTGTGTATGCGAGGCGTTTTTTCCGCGCGGATCTCCGCCCTCTCCGCCGCAGCCTCCGCGTCCTCGTCCCGAGCGCGCCCGCGTATCGAGACTCATCGAGTGGCGGTGGTCGCGACTCGCGCGACCCGACCCGACCGCGGCGCGACGGAACGATCGCAGTCGCTCGCCCAGCACGGCCGCAAGTACGTGCCGGTTGCTCAACGTCGCGCAATCCGTGAAGAGACGGCGTCCCCTCGCGTGCGCGCGCGCGAGCGCTACCTCGAGCGAGCGGTGTACCGGCGCGAGTCCGAGTGGTGTGTATGTGTGTGTGAGACTGGTGTATAAAAGACAGAGGCCGGCTGTCGCGGGCGCACCACCTTCCAGGAGGCTCTTCCCTCCGTCGAAAGAGAGTCCGTTCCGCGAGCTTCCCAATTTGCGCGAGTGCGGTCTCGCGGATTCCCCTCGTTCGCGATTGCGCGGCGAGGTTTCCGCCGCGCGTTTCGGCTTTGATCGACGCCGCCGCGCGTGCAGCCGGCGAGTATCGCAGCTCGGCCCGTATCGCGCGATTAAATAACCGTAACGGGAATATATTAAAGCCGCGACTGACAGAGGTGCACGTCGTCGTCGTCGTCGTCGTCGTCGTCGTCGGGTATGTAGTTACTCCGTTCCTTGACTCCATGTTCTTTTGACAGCTCGTGGCCGATCGGATTCCCAGGTTCTCGCGCTCGAGTACTCTCCTCGAATGTATACTTTATGGCTTTATGCATACACGAAGTGTTTGCTCGCATTGTTCAGATTGTGATCTCCCTATTCATTTGTTTTTACCACTACTATTTATTTATATTTAAATGCGAGGAGAGAGAGTGACTTCGAGCGCGCGATTCTTCGAGACGATAGTCAGTGGATGCAGTGCGTGAATGAATCATCTGTTTGCTGTTTCAAAATCTACTTGACTGTACTTCTATCCTCTTTTATAAGACGAAGATAGTAGGATTTTAAAAACGCTATTTTTAAAATTGTTATTCTTTACTTTTCTTTTCACTTGCTGAATTGTTATTGAAAATGTTTATTGTATATATATACTAGAAATATTAAATCATACAAATGTATCAAATATTAAATATATTTATAAATATTCTTATTGAAACGTAACAAAAGTATTTCTTTCATTTGTAAGATTGAAAAACACGCTTGTCGTTATCTCTTATCTGCATGACTGAATTTTTACTAAAAAGTATTTGTTTTATTTGAAGGTAGATTTTGTTGTTTTCAAAATCTACCTGATTCTACTTTCATCCTCTCGATAAACGAAGATAGAAATAATTTAAAAAATGCTATTTTTTAACTTATTTTTATTTTTTATTTTTCTTTTCATTTGCTGAATTGTTATTAAAAATGTTTATTATGTACATATTAAAAATATTAAATTCAAATCATACAAATGTATTAAATATTAAATATATTTATAAATATTCTTATTATAAAGACGTATTAAAAGTATTTCTTTTATTTATAAGAACAAAAGGATTTTTTTTATTTATAAGAACGCTTGTCACTATCTCTTATCTGCCTGATTGAATTTTTATTAAAAAGTATTTGTTTTATTTTGAAAGGGATTTTGCTATTTTCAAATCTACCTGACTCTACTTTCATCCTCTTGATAGACAAGGATAGATAAAAGCAATTTTAAAAACGCTGTTTTTTAATTAATTTTTATTTTTTATTTTTTTTATTTACTGAATTGTTATGAAAAATGTTTATTAAATATGTTATTAAATATTGTTTTACTTTTTTTTATTTGCTGAATTGTTATTAAAAATGTTTGTTATGTACATACTAAAGATATTAAATACATATTAAACAAATGTATTAAATATGAAATATATTTATAAATATTCTTATTAAAACGTATCAAATATATTTCTTTTATTTATAAGAACGAAAATACGCTTGTCGTCCTCTTTTACTTGCATGACTGAATTTTTATTCAAAAATATTTATTTTATTTGAAGGGATTTTACTGTTTTCAAAATCTACCTGACTCTACTTTTATCCTCTCGAAAGACGAAGATAGATAGAAACAATTTTAAAAACGCTATTTTTAAATTAATTTTTATTTTTTACTTTCCTTTTTATTTGCTGAATTTTATTAAAAATGTTTATTATGTACATACTAAAAATATTAAATGTAAAATGTATTAAATACTAAATATATTTATAAATATTCTTATTAAAGACACATCAAAAGAATTCTTTTCATTTATAAGTACGAAAAACACGCTTGTCATTGTCTCTTATCTGCATGACTGAATTTTTATTAAAAAGTATTTGTTTTATATTTGAAGGGATAAAGAATCGTTGCTCGTTATATTTTTCATGGAGGTCATTCGAAAACGCATGTTTACGTGTGTCTCGCGCAAGGTTGCGGTCACAAAAAATACATATTCGAAGTGCTTGCGACAGACAGAGGGAGGCGTGTGCGAGAAGCGACGAGATTTTGTGTGATAAAATGTCATTTGTGAACGCAAATATTATACATTAGATGTTCGGCGTGTGGCAAGCGCACCTTTGGATTTTTGGAGTACCGGAGCGAGGGGTAGTCTAATTCGGAGCTAACGTTACTCACACGGTTGCTTTGCACGCTCGGGGCTTTATTGTGTTACGTCACGCTCATAATTCAACGCTTCTGCCGATTATCGTCGACGGCATTTCAATGGGGCATCACGCGGCTCATGGCTTCATTCCCTCCCGCATCGAACGTCAAACGTGACTGTCGCCTGTGATACGTCCCGTCGTATCGGTACCATACCTACATGACGCGCGATTTCTCGTGTGTTGGGCAAACAGAATTCCAAGGCGACACCGTATTCGCGCGACACAGACAGAGAGAAAAAGAGAGAGAGAAAGAGAGTGTATGCGCGCGTGTGTGTTCTTTGTCCGTGCAATCGTATTCACCAGTTTCGAGCCTTTTAATCGATAAATCTCGTCTTTTGGTTTTTTTTTTCGTTAAGTCTCGGGCTGATCAATTATTAATATGGTATATAATCCGTGCCGAATCTCCTCTTGCGTTTTTGTTTCCATTCAGCTTTTCATCCTCGAGAAAGACGCACGAGAAAGACTCGCATTCACGGCGCGCGACACGGGGTCACTTTCCATTTAGTGACATAAGTATCGTTTTGTCTTTGTTATTCACTAAATGCTAAGAAGGATAGAATGACGTTTGAGTCGACTTGTGTCACCAAATGGAAAGCACTCATGATTCTCTGCGACAAAATGCATGTCACGGAAAGAACGATTTTGTTGAAAGGTCTAAAATTTTGCTAAAAAACAGATCTGAAATTAATTTTTTGTTGAATCGTCAAAATAATTTGTTGAAATGTTCAAACTGATATAAGTATTGCTATAAAATGTTTTGATATTCTAGCAATCATTTTGACTTTCGCACAAAATTATTTTGATTATTGAACAAAAATTATTTTCAGATCTGGAAACCAACAAAATTGTTCTTTCCGTGTGCAGATGTTTATAAAGGATCGAAATATCGATCGGGATATGAATTTATCGATTCGAGGATCTGGAAACGTCACGCTAATTGAGTGGCGCGATTATGTGTAAATACGTCTTGTAAACTGCCGCTCGGCTCGCGCGCTTCGCTCTCTTCTTCATCGCCTATACGCCCTATACGAATGCGCTCATTGGCACGACACAACGGCGAGAGAAATGTATGAATGGGAAACGCGCGCGAGATTAAGTCGTCATTCTCGGCCTCATTTCGTCACCTTCGCGAGTGAATACGCGAGTTCAAGGGTGGTCCCGAAATTTTCCGGATGACACGATACTTTAACGAAACTCTTGACAGAAAACTCGACCGATCGTATTTTTACTTTCATTTTTTTTTAAGTATTAATTATTTTCTTTTAAGTATTACTTTTAGTTTCAAACTTAAATTATCTTGGCCAAAATGTGAAACGAGATATATATCTATTAATTGAAATTTATCGTGGCTCTTTCAAATCGCGAGCACTGAGAGACGTTGGAGCTTAAAACCTTGATAAATCCCGGAGTCTAGGGGTCGGTCGTGTTTAAAATAAATTACATTATTTGAAATATGTATTTTAAATAACAAAAAGTAAAAGAGTTATTTAGTATTTATTATTTTAAGTAGTTTCTTTTGATTTATTTTATATTTAATATTTTAAATATGTTTTTGAAATTTGTTTTATATTTTTCAACATTTTAAATAAGTCGTGTTTCTGGAATCTATTTTATATTTGTTATTTTAAATAGGTTATATCAGTTACTTTACCGACTTCTGTTTATCAGGGATCGGTCGTATTTAAAAAAAACATTATTTAAAATATATATTTTAAATTAAAAAAGTAAAAGAATTATTTATTATTTTAAATAATTTCCTCTGATCTATTTCTTATTTAATATTTTAAATATGCTTTTGGAATCTATTTTATATTTTTCATTTTAAAATAAGTCGTATCAGTTTTTTTATTGGCCCCTGCTATATTTTATTTTAAATAAGTTTCTGGAATCTATTTTATATTTGTTATTGTAAATAAGTTGTATCAGTTATTTTACCGACCCTTGTCCCGGACGCCTGTTTCCGAAGGCGCTGCAGAGCGAAACACCGGAAATAGCACGGTATGTCCGACTTACGATCATTTTGGTATGGAATATTCGTTAGCTTCCGGGGAAAACATCGCGTTCGCTTTGTTTAAAGCCCGATCCACGAGCGCTTTTGTGCCGAACCATCGTGTGTGCGGGTGTGATCCATCAGATTTTATCATTTGGTCTCTTTATCTTTATAGTTTTCAGTTGGTGGCTCCGATTATCCCTTGTGGCTCGATTAAACGAAACCAAAAAACAAACAAAAAAAAAGAGCGAACTGCAAAAGCAAAGGCGAAACGAGAGACCGGGCGGACTAAAACTTATCTAGCTTTCCTCTGTGCCACCACGCGTGCCGTGCGGAAAAAATCGGGCTCGGAGTCGGCCTCTCCTTCCGTAACGACACCACCGCACGCCGTGTGATAAACCACCTCCGAACTCTCGTCGTTGCACCTTGGGAGGTCGTCCCCTGGGAGCGAGCCCTCTACCTCGGCTCTTGTCGACGCGGCGGGGCGGGGGCGGTGATGCTTTTGTCCTCCCGACAGAATCGGGACTTAGCCGTGCGAAAATCGAGAGCCACACCAATGCCGAAGTCGGCAACTAAGTGGAGATTCTGGAGGTCTCTTTTATCTTTATTTTCTACATGCGAGAAAGAGAGAGAGAGAGAGAGAATGAGAGAAAGAGAGTGTGAAACCCGAAGGATTTTCACGTACATTTATACATTACACGTCTTCCCGTAGTGCGAGAATCAGAAGCGGGCCGGTTGCATCAACTTCTGATCAATTGACTAATCAACGATTGATTGGATTTTCCCGCTTTACTTGTACCTCTTAAGGCAGAAAGGCGTATTTTCCCTCTCACGGATCACCTGTCGACATTACAGAAATTTCCAACATTACGTGTCTCTCAGACTGGAGAATTTTAAATTAAATCGCGTCGAATTAATGTGAAATAACGTGTATCTTAATGAAAGAGAAAGATACGCCTTTTTAATTCAGAACTTGAGTTTGAGCTTTAAGTTTTTTTAGATTTTTCGATTGATTCGATTTTCCCGCTTCACTTGTACCTCTTAAGACAGAAAGGCGTATTTTTCCTCTCACTGCAGATCACCTGTCAACATTACGTGTCTCTCAGACTGGAGAATTTCAAATTAAATCGCGTCGAATTAATGCGAAATGACGTGTATCTTAATGGAAGAGTAAGATACGCCTTTTCAGAATAGAACTTGAGTTCAAGTTTTTTAGATTTTTCCATTTAAATGAGATTGCTATTTTTATCTGAGAATCAATCTGAAAAAATTTAGTCAGTCGACATTTAATTAACCAAGATCGTTGGTGCAACCCTCCCGTGAACGGTTCGTCGATGCTGTATACATCTCGCGATAACTGTCCTTTTTCGGACGCGAACAATTAACGAAAGCAGATTGCGATTAATTTAACGCTGCGCCGCGAACGAGTCTGCTGCTCCACTAACTTTCCGCTCGGGATAATCAGAACTGTGAGAATTCTGCCGATGATGACGGCTGGAGTACGTAAAGCGGCTCGTAAATCATAAATAGGTATCATTCGTATTTGATATCTGCAATTCCAATCTAATAAATCGCTCTAATTTATTCACTTAATCGAAGGCTGCTCCGAGAGCTGTTCTCCGGCAGAATACCTCTGTAATTGCTGTACGTAATTCTCGAACACAATGGCGGTCTAATTAACCCTCACCACGACACAATTTACTCGATTAAATATTTCGATGTACCGTCGTGCACGTTGGTCTGAATTGTGTCGCTCAGTGAGGGTTAACAAGTCCGCATCGACGGCGTTTTGTATTACTTGTATACACTATTTGTTTTACGCAACATACGCCTTTTCGGCGACACAAGCGATATGATTACTAACGTGATATTAATTTACTATTAACAGTTTCTTATGTTTTAATTTATTATTAACGGGCGATTAACGGCAAGTGCCTCTTTAATAATTTGTGTGTGATTGGTAACATACTTCCAAAATAGCTCCTCGTAGTTTATTGTAGATTAGCTCCTCGTAGTTTATTGTAGATAAATTTGTTTTTGTAGCAAGTATCTTTATGTTGGCCAGTTGTTTGCCTGTGTTTATATTCCATGTGCTCTGTTCAGATAATAGGTATCGCTAATAATTCTTTTATTTTTAATTAGCGAATTACTTTTTTTAATATTTTACGCGCCTATAGCATCGCCTTTTATGGACGAATGGAAATATAGTGACGCGGTTGCGAGATGTGTCTTTATTATTATATATGCTAATGCAATATTCTCACGTCATATTAAATACGCGCGCACGCAATTTTTCTCCCGGTTGCAACGATTGGAAAAATCGCGCGGTGTACTGCATTGCGGTGTGCAGGTTGAGAGGCACGCGCCGTATAAGCGACGGATCGTGTGGGTCGAGCGCTGCACGTACATGTGCGCGCGTGTATACGTGTATACGCGAAATAACATGAATCTTGCACATTCTTCGAGGACGGTTACGCAAACGGCTCCATTGAAACGACGTCTGGCTTACATAGTAAATTTTATTTCAAATATTCAGCCGAGTAAAAAACATTATCAGGTTGCCACAAACCTGGAAAACCGGGAAATTTGAACTGATCAGGGAGAACCTGGAATACGAATAAGTTAGGGAAAGATGTAAAAGAGCCTAAAATTTTGAACCTAGCTCTTTAAAAGGGATCCATTTCGATTCTGTAACTCTTAACAGTTATTTGATATCGTTATATTTTTTGTATTGCTTTTTCTAATTTGAAAATCTTTTTCCAAAATTTATTTGATATCGCTAAATATTTAGAATATTTTGGATTGCGATAACGGAGAGAAGTCCCGAAACAAGATTGTAATTTTCGAAAATTTTTTTTTGATTTTCATACAAAATCATTTCATTCTGTTATTTTTCTATTGTTTAATTCTGGAAAAGAACTTTCAAATCAGAAAAAGCAATACATACAAAAAATATAATGATTTTCGAACTGTCGTTAAGAGTTACAGAATCGGGGGGTGGATCTCTTTTAAAGAGCAAAGTTTAAAATTCTAGGCTCTTTTACATCTTTCCCTGACTTTTCCAAGTTTTCCCTAAATTTGCATTTGGGATTATATTGTGTTATTAAACTTCTAAATTTATGTTGTTTCTAATAATATAAGTTACTTTTCTTGTAATATGTATCTTCTAAACATAAAAATTTAGAATTATACATTTGATACTGATCATGCAGGAAAATTTTCCACCGTCGTCGTCTGCAGGAAATCATGAAAAAGTCAGGGAATTTCAAAATTCATTTTCTGTGGCAATCCTGATTATTTACTATTAATTTTTCGCCGATTCCTCGCGCGATTTTTCCCGTCTCTAAAATTTCCGCTCCCAAATATCGTCCTCTAGCCGTTATCTCGCTGACGCGAGCGGATTTCCCTCGAGGAAGGATCAAACGTGGATTGAGCAACGCTATAATGAGACGCCGTAACGCATCGCAATGTAATGCAACGAGCCGTGTATGCGCATGAACGATTTCGACGGTATTCCCTCGTGTGTCTTCCACACACTCGATATACGGCGATACGCGCCGTTATCGAGTCTGAGGTCTGCGTTATCACCGCGTAATCTCGTGGTACCTCGTATTTTTCCGCGCGCCTTATGCGCGCGACCTTCGTCGCGCCTGCCTATCGGCAGCAACACGCCCGTTCTTCGCGCCTCACCTAACCAGGAAATGACGTTGGTTTACGTCCTCGCGTTTGCAGAAAGTCCAAGAGGGCTGTTCTCGAGGAGAGCGATCAGCAGGAGAGCAAGCGCAAGCGCTCGGCACCGGCGGTGATCGTGACGCAGGTGATCAGGCAGGATTACGATCAGCTGCAGCAGCCGGAGCAGAAGGTGCCGGAAGCCGCTGGGGACGCTAGTAGGAGGAAGACGATCGCGATGGAGCATCCGCTGAGCAGTCGGCTGTCGCCGAAGGTCACGCCGATCACCGACGACTACGAGATCAGCAATCACGTCCTGGGCCTCGGGATCAACGGGAAGGTGGTGCAGTGCTACGACCGGAACACGAGGCAGAAGTACGCGCTTAAAGTAAGTCATCTTCCCGCAGCTTGGCTTAATTTTGACTTTTCGGAGGCATTATTCACGGTGGTCCAAGAAAGCCGTATTAAGATTCTAAAGTTATAAAGAGAAAGTTATCGGTTCAAAGTCCAGGTGTTGATCTAGATAAGACTATTCGAGTGACTCCGCTTGATGGGCTTTGGCCAGTTGAAAGTTTTATACCTCGAAATAAAGATAACAAACGCATAGGAATCGAGGTCTCTTATCGGGCAGGCGAGGGACGCGATTCGTTATACACGCATACGTCTTTTCCGTCCATCGGCGATGCGCCTCCTCGCGCGTCCTCGGCTCTATTTTTGTATAGGCGCGAGAGAGCGACGCACCGGGCGGCCGCGGGCGCTCCCTGCAGGAGGTGTTAATCCGTCGCGTTGACACCTCTTTGAAGGAATCGCCCGCGTATCAATACCCGCTCGGATCGCATCGGCCGAGTGCGTATTCAGACCGCGAGTCATCTTCTATTTATATCCCGGTGATTTCCTCGTTTGACGATGTCGAGAGCGGGGAGGAGGAGCGGGACTTCGCGATCGTGCGCGGATGCGTATTTTTCCCCTCGAAAGTGGCCTGCCCGACTATTTCGCCGCCACGACCGACCCGCAAAAAAATTCAGCGACCGACCAACCTCGCGGAAACGGTTTCCCCGACAGAGTTGAAACTATTGAGAGTCGCACATCTCGGCGTGTCCTCGCCTAACGAGAATCGCGGCTTCACGGAAAGAAATTGTTAAGTTATGTTGATGTTACATGACATATATCTGATGTTAAAGTATGCTCATTAGTATACGGTTCTCACAACCGTAATAGTTAGGATAAATAATAGATTAGAATATCTTTATATATGTGGTTGCCTCAACCAAAGCATTATTGTTATCTCTCTAATGTGGTCTGCACAATAAATAGTATGATTGAGAGATATATATGTACAGGGTTGCCACAAATCTGGAAAATCGGGAAAACCTGGAAAAGTCAGGGAAATCTAAACCGGTCAGGGAAAACCTGGACAAGTTAGGGAAAGATATAAAGAAGCCAACTTTGCTCGACAATTTTCTTAAAGGGATCATTTGTTTTATCGCCGAAACTCAATAACTTTTGTATAATGTTTTTGTATGTATTGCTTTTTCTAATTTGTGTGAAAATCCTTTTCCACAATTAAACAATAGACAGAATGAAATGATTTTGTATAAAAATGGAAAAAATTTTCCAAAATTACGATTTTGTTCGAGACTTCTCTTTGTTATCGTAATCGAAAATATTTTGAATATTTAGCGGTATTAAAGAAATGTCTATAGGAATCTTTTTGATTTTACCACTGAGTTTTTGTCTGGTCCTCAAGTAAAATTCCCGCGGAAAATTTAGTTATACCAAAGGGATTTTTTTCTGTAGTTTAATGCATAACATCAATGTCAAAACAACAATGTCAAAGTGTTAATAATTTGTTGGCCTGAATTTGCATTTGGGAGATTACAACATGTTATTAAATTTCTAAGTTTATGTTACTTCTAATAATATAAGTAATCTTTCTTGTATCTTCTAAACTTCAAAATTTAGAATTATTATATATTTGATATATCTGATCATGACAAATTTCAAACTTCATTTTTTGTATGCAACCCTGTACATATGATATAATATTACATGTCACAACATTGAGACTCAGAGTTCAGTTAACTATATAAGTCACTTCTAAAGTATCTTAGTTCCAATAGTTCTTATAATCCTTTTGAATTGATGGACGAAAATTATAACAATTGTTATGCTGTGGCAACAGTAATTTTTTTCCGTGTTCGATTCCGGTCACGCCGCTACAAAATTTAGAGAGAAGTTGAGAGAGACGCGGTATATAAAATTCGGCCCCACGATAAAATTATTCAATATTGCTAGATCGCGAACTGTATAATTGTAAGAAGCTTCCAACAGTGATTTACGTCTGGTGTGATGTATCTCATTTGTCGCAATTCGCAACACGCGAGGTGTAGATAAGATTATTTTGTAGTCTCGTCGGTTTTACGATAGGGATTATTTCGGCCACGCGGCTAACAGACGCGCGTCCGATAAATAGCTGTAATTACCTGATCAAATTGGCTCGTTTGGGAGGAAACGTTGATATTAACGTACCGTCGCCAATCGATATCCCGTTAATACCGCGTTATTATCTGAATTCCGTCCCATTTTCTGATAACTCTTGTACATGATAAAGTGTGCGTTTAACACTGCGAGATTGCGCATTTTGCAGCAACTCTCGTCCGACTCTCGCGTACGCTAAAACACAATATCTCTAATTATCATAAAGTATATTTGGAAATTAAAATCCTCTAAAAATAGCCGAATGTTTTCCGACAGAAACTTTGTTTCGTAAACACCACTTTCTTCGTGTAATTCGTACAAGTCGCTGTCTTTTTTTTTTATTACAAGTCCGTTGCGCTTCAGCGAGCATCATCGCGCGTTCCCGAATCAATGTGGGACCGATCGCGTTCGCGAAAGTTGCATTTCCTTATATAAAGGCGAGATCGCGCGATTTCTGATGTGAGGCCAGCCGCGAAAATAATTTGACGGCAATTTAGCGTGGAATGTTGATCGCGATTGGAGACGTATAGAACGCCGATGACCGATTGCGCGGCGGTCACGTTACGCTTGCGTGATCGCCGCGGTAATTTCCTCTCTTCGTCTTTTTGGCTCGGTATAGATGTGTGTATATTAACACGTTGTCTGCCCAGCGAGTTTTATGTCTTACCACATATGTATGCCGCACAAGAATTTTCATTATCGTAAGCGTATATGATACAATAATGTGTAATACGACTAAACAAGATTATTTCGTCATGAGTAATGCGCATATTTTACTTTACGTTGTTATCTATAGCTGGTTTATGTGATTCAAATTTTTTTAACTAAAAATTTATTTTTCATTTTTATTAGGCGTTTATTTTTTTTGTAAAGATAGTGACACTGACTGCCACGTTATTCATACTGCGAGTCACGCGCGTAAATTTCCGCAAAAGGCCCATCGTCCATAAATGGGTTTCATTTATTTGATTAAAATTAATTAGTAAATGCAATATAAATAATTTTACTCGTATTTAAGATATTACAGAACCAAATATAAATTATATCAAGACATTTAAAAAACAAAAATATTAAAATAATATACTATAGTGTTGATTTCTATCAACGTAAATTAATTTTAATCTCGATTCAATTTAGTTTTTATCTTCTTCTAATTTAAAGAATCAGAAAAAGATAGAGAATAAATTAAACTAACAATAAGATTAAAGTTAATTTACAATGGTAGAAGTGGACCTTAGTTTATTAAGCCCAATGTCGAAGTTAACCTGGTAGTTAACGTGTTAACCTTCGATTGTCACACCTTTTTTTTCAAACAAGTTTATTATTTGATATGATCAATTTGTTAAATCAATTTTTAAAAGGCTGCCGTTTAAAAACTAACAATTTAATTGAATCGCAAAAATTCTTAAATAGAGTTCGAACGTTATAGAATGTACGATTGTAGAAAATTTAAAATTAAAGTTATATTGAAAAATATTCTTAAAAGAAAGTAAGTTTTGAAAAAATTTCCCAAAGTAAAAAGCTGGGGTCAAGTGTGACAACCGAAGGTTAATATTGTCAATCTGTTGATCTTTAAATTTGTACATGAAAAATTAGGCGTTATAATCTGTAAGTGATCTTCACACGTATTCTTTCCCATGAGAAAAATTTCGTAAGTTTGTTTTTTTAGATTTAAGGCGGTTGATTCTTTTTACGCGAAGTTTGATTGAGAGCTGTTTTTTTCCGGAGAAAGAGAGTCTAAAGGTCGGTGATATAAAACACTTCGTCTCCTCGCGTCCGCTCGTAAAAACTCCGCTCTCGTCGTGAAAAGGTATCGCGCCGCGGCTTCTTGGATTCCTTAAAAAAAAAAATAATCGGGATGTCCATCCCACGCGAGAAATTTCAACGTTGCGTTCACGGTATCGAGGAATTACCGCGAAGATTGAGAGATTCTTCGCGGCCGCGACGCGACGGACGCGTAGGACGTGCTGCTGCAGTTTTCAGTAACTCTACTGTAAATATCGCTCGTGCGTTCGCGGAAAAAGAGTCTTCTTATTTTCGCGAGAACTAGACACGGGAGTCTCTCGACTGTAAATACCTCGAACGGGCATTAAAATCCTTTATTACGCGCTCGCTAAAAATATCGTTCGCTTTTCGCGCGCGACACGACACGACACGTGCGACGCGAGATAAAATTGCGAAAAATCACGTGCGTTTCAGTCAATCTCTCGATATACCGATCGGACTTCTTTCGACGTTTCTCTCCCTTACTGCGTTTCATTCTCGATCGTTGCACGTGTCGCTCGCGTGTCGTCAGCGTTCAGGCTCGCGATTATTGACTTCTCGTCACGCATTTTTCCGCAGCGGCGTGTCATTAAAACTCCCGACTACGCTCTCCCGAGAAGACCGCGTAATAAAGGGTACGATTTTATTTGTCGTACGACAAAGATTTCAAGCCTATTGATTGGCTATAGGATAGAGAGATCCGACAACTTCTCTTTCTTGCAGCCAATCAATAGACTTGAAATGCTTTGTCGTACAACAAATGTGATTCCAGCCTTTAATGCGACACGCGCGAGATGCCGCGGCGCTGAAGAGGAAAAGCAAAATTTGCGCTGCCCCCCTTTTCTTCCGCGCGCGCGCGGCTCTATATATTCCCCGATGATCTCATTCTTTCCGGTGCGAAAATGGTCAATGGCATCGAAGGAACGCTCCATCGGCGGAGGATTCCGACGCACGGTGGGCCGAAGCACAGCGAAATCCGGAAATAAGGACTCTAATCGTTGTAAAACCATATTTTTCTTGCTCAAAAGTGAAGACTGAAATTGCTTTACTATAACGCTATTATCTCTGCCGTGTTGCGATATCGTTTCATTTAGAAGTTAAAAACAACATGTAACTGTATCTCGATTGCAGAAAGTTAAAATCGAT